TATATGAGACAAAAAATATTGAACTTATTATTCTAAATTATGGTGATGCACCTATATGTTGTACACTAGATTTGATTCAGGTGGGTATTTGATACATAATGCATTGGGCAATAAGAGCATCCCTCTATCTATCTGAACACTATTCCGTGGCTTGAAACCTTAAACCACATCAAATAATGCTGTTACATTATGTAGCGCTTTATTCACTTATTTGAAGAGTACATGACCTCACAGGTTTGTGTCATCTACTATTTATTTGTTGCTGCTACTTTACTCTTGCTAGCCTAGAATTTGATAATAATCACATGCAGTAATTCAAATCCTTCATTCCAAATTATCTTCAAGCATTATAATGTAATGTAATAAATAAGGTCTAATCAAACAAGTCAGAAAGTGTCAGAAGAGGGAAAGAAAGATGTCAAAAAGAAAACATTTTCTCCAGAATACATCAGATTCATTTGTTAAAAAAAAAACCTAAGCCATATGACAATGAGGAGAGAGAGGATGAGAATGGACAGAAGAGAGAGGAGGATAGAAAGAAGTGTGGAACTGCACAGAGTGGAGAATGGAGAGAACAGAGCAGAGAACTGTGTAGAAAGACAGGAGAACAGAGAGATCAGAGTGGAGAACGGAGAGGAGAAGAGATAGGGCAGAGCAGAGAACCAAGTGGACAGGGAGGACAGAAAGGATGACGGAGAGAACAGGGCAGAGAACCAAGAAGAGAACCGAGTGCACAGAGAGGAAAAGAAAGAATCCAGAGAGGATCAGCACAGAGAGGAGGAGAGAGAGCACAGACAGCAGAACAGACAGGAGGAGAGAGAGAAGAGAGAGGAGAAGAAAGCATCCAGAGTGGATCCGCACAGGCAGGAGAAGAGAGAGCACAGACAGCAGAACAGAAAGGAGGAGAGAGAGCACAGACAGCAGAACAGAGAGGAGGAGAGAGAGAAGAAGAAAGCATCCAGAGTGGACCAGCACAGACAGGAGGAGAGAGAGCACAGACAGCAGAACAGAGAGGAGGAGAGAGAGGAGAAGAAAGCATCCAGACAGGATCAGTACAGAGAGGAGGAGGAGAAAGCATCCAGAGTGGATCAGCACAGGCAGGAGAAGAGAGAGCACAGACAGCAGAACAGAGAGGAGGAGAGAGAGCACAGACAGCAGAACAGAGAGGAGGAGAGAGAGGAGAAGAAAGTAGACAGAGTCAATAGAAAATCACTCTCCATCCTCTCTCTCTCTCTCTCTCTCTCTCTCAAAAGACCATTATTGTTATACTAAACCTACTAGTACAAAGTAGCCTGCCATAGAAAAACTATCAACTCACTGTACAGGATTATGTACAGCCTACTATAAAGTAGCTACAAGCTAGAGCGGTCCAAACTGATGTTAAAGTGCATTTTTTTTAGTCAAATAATGTGAACATTTTCTGCAGCTGGGCCAAATCACCCCCTCAGTAACAATACAGTTGTTTCCTTGGAGGAAAACATGCTACAGGATTTCCAAACTGTCATGGCAGGGGAAGAAGATGAAAGCAACAGCAGCCCCTAACACGTCCACCTCTACTGCATGAAAATGAATTCTTTCTGATTCCAACATGTATCCAAGTACATTACAAGTGTGTTACACGTGTCAGGTGAGCCCCTTACCTAAGATTTCAGTTCAGCGTCTTCATAATCAAACAGTCACTACATCACAAACATCAGCTCTGAAAGTTCAGCTCACCTCTGCTTGGTTCCACAATGCTGGTGAAGGTGCAATGCCAAGCGGATGGCACAGTGTGTTTATTCACGTTAATCTTTGTGTCCACCTGTACACAGTACTCTGCGCCAATCTGTAGGTTGTCGACAGTATAACTCTTGTTTTGTGTTACGAAGGATTTCTGCAGGTTAAATGTGGAGAAATAACTTGGTTAAATGATTTCCATTTGAGCCTCGTCTGTGACCCCAGCACTCCACATGTTACTGCCTGATTTGGTTTCAATACTGGTTTTAAATCTTGGTGTCCCCCTGAACAATCATTATATCTTTCCAAGCAGTTGGATGATACCTATGGGATCATGAAAATACTTTTGGAGATATAAGCCACTATGTGACCTAAGAGTAACATGCAGAGCGCTGACCTCACAGATAGCACCATTTCCAATTTGAAGAGTTTGGAGTTTAGTTCTACTGTTTTTTTAATTGAGGCAGAACTGCTCTTGAAGCAGAAATTATCATATAATGTTCAGTTAAACCTGAGAGGCCAGAGAGATAAGTATCTTGAATCTAGGTAAGAGAGATAAGTATTTTGAATCTTACACTCTAATAGACTCTTTTCACAGCAGACCAACTTTTCAAAGCAGGAAAAGAACAGGTGTAATTAATACCACTAAAGCTGCAGTCAGTGATTTTAATTCAATACACTGTCAAATTCAGCAAATATCTCAACATGGTCCACCAGCTGTCTGTTCTGTTTGTGCACTGATTAAAAAAAAAAATCCAGTGTTTATACATAGCCCTGGCTCCGAGTTGGCGTTTTTAATGACTCTTGCCCATTAAATAAAGGCTTTTTAATTTTTCCAAACCGACCTGAGTGCCTGGACTTTGATTTTTTACAGCCCTGGCTCTGTTGGGAACAAATAATGTGACTCAGACAATACACAACACTATGCCAGCTACTCTCCCTTCCCCACATTCTCACCCAGCAGAAACACAGCTGCCCTATGACAGTAATGAAATGTTAATAATGTCAGAGCTTCTGAGGGCGCACTGACCAAATGGTAAGGGAAGCCATGACTGTCATATGTGTGAAATTTTCCAAAGATCTGACCATGTCATGCCAAGTTACAGCAGTTAATGTTGTCTTGTCGAAACACTGAAATTTGCTACGCTGCCATGGCGACACCCTTTGACAAAAACTCACAGATTTCATAAAGCATCACAAAGGTCTTATGGCTGTTTTGGCCAATTTTCAGGTGGATCTGGTGAACTTTGTAAACGTAGAATGTGTGGCAGAGCTGTTGTATTGGATTGTATTAGATTGCACAGGTGTACCTAATAAAGTGGCCAGTGAGTGTATGTATGTATGTATGTATGTATGTATGTATGTAATACATTTAGTAGCTATAATCCAACATACACATAGGAATAAACTGTCCTTGTGCAAATATAGAAAATACAAAATGATCAGGTTTATTACCAAAACAAACTTGTTGTTTTGATGATGGGAGTAACTGCACTAAACATATGCTGTTTGAAATCACTCTGCCCAGCAAGTACTGTATGTCTGGAATGTAGATCCGGCTGTGCATTTGGCTTCAAAACAACTCTGTCTCATAATATTACATTATTATTTAATAGTGTGGTGAATGTGTAAGCTACAAATTGTCCACAAGAGCGTTTTGGAGTCATTTGATGGTGTATTTGATTAGTATTGAGGGAGAGAGGGGGCTGTACCGTTCACTTCCATTTTGTGCGCCGAGCAGCGGGCAGCTCTGCCCCACCGATCTCAGAACAGCAGGCACTGACAATTAAAGGTAATGTACCTACTCATATGACTATAGGGATTACAGCAATAGGCGAATTTGCCAAAATGTCGAACTATCACTTTAAGGTATGGTTACAAGAGACATTTTTGTATAGCTTGGTGTGTTACATGTGCCTACCAAGTTTCGTACATTTAGGTGAAAGCAGCTTTGGGGGCTGTTCCTTCTAAATTTTGTAGGGGGCACTACTGAGCCATTTTTTGGAACCTGAGTATGAGACCCTTAAAATATAAATTTTTTAAAGCAGGTCTGATGTATGTGCAAAGTTTCATGACTATTCGAGTACATTACGTCAAAAAGGCAATTCGTTTCCATGCACCGAGGTTGGTGCTCGGGCCCTAATAGTAATAATTCCTTCAGTTTCAAGCGGGCCTTCGCTAATTCAAGTTGGCACTAAATTGTTAGCTGGCTCCGTCAACTGTAGTGCAGTTGCTCTATGAGCCCCGTGATGTGGAAGCAGCGCTAAACATCCAGGTAATTTTTATACTGCAGAAATAGAGCTTTTTCGCTTAATGCACCACTGAGCAACTTTCATAGGAATCAATGGGATCCCACCTTCAATGCTCTATCCAGGTCTCTCAATGCATCCATTATTTTCACCTGTGCTTTTTTGCTGCTTTGACAAGTCAAAATGTCTGCTGTGAAAAGGGTCTATTAGTAAATAAATATAACCTTAGATGTTTAATATTCAGGGGAACAATCACACTGAAAAGCATGCAAAAAATCCCCCAAAAGAATAAGAACAAAACTTGACGTGATTTTTGGGTAATTTACCTAAAGTGAGTCCAGTATTGTATAATATCGAATATCCAACTTGCTGTAATTCATTGCCTCTGTTTACTCAGGGTTTACCCTAACCTATAAAACTATTTCTAAGTTCTACAACTAGGATATTTGATTTAGTGGTTGTGTCTATAGAGCAACTAAATTAAATTTAATACTTCATCAGAACATAGTCATGTATAGTTCAGAATCATTACAAGAAAAATGTGCTTTGATATAGGTGAGAAATGGATGTCTTACCGTTGATTCGTTATGTTTCTTCCAATAGATTTTAAACTTAGCCCCATAGAATTCCTGGATATCACTGATTTTTGAGCTCCTGTCAGCTTCAGGGAGTGAAATGTTGATTTGAATGCAGTTGCCACATCCAGCCAGTGAGACTTTTGGAGGACCTATTATGGCTTGTCACAAGAAGAAAACACATTCTTTATAAATTCAGGCAATTTCTGCTTTGCTAGAAACATGTGTATCATAAAGGGTACAGAAAGTGTAATGTAATGTAACTAAATCTGAACTTGTACATCAAGTGTATGGTGTGTTTTTGGTTCACTCTGCTGCATTTCAGCTCTTTTTTTAATAAACTTTCAGACAATATTTTGACCAATGCTCTACAACAGGTAAAATAGACAATGTAAATACATCTGTATTAGGAAAGTCTTAAGACTAGATTTAAGACTTTCCTTTTTGATAAAGCTTATAGTTAGGGCTGGCTCAGGCTTGCCTTGGACCAGCCCCTAATACACCTCCTATAACACACCGAGCACCTTGTCTCCTTCTCTCTCTCTCTCTCTCGCCTTTGCTAACACTCATGTCCTGTTACTGCATCTTGCTAACTCAGCTCTACTGCGTGTCATTAACTTCGCTTCTTCTCCAGGGCCTTTGCGCTCCACTGTCTCGCAGGTTAACTCATATCACAGTGGTACCTGGATGGTGTGACGTGTGTGGTTGTGCTGCTGCCATGGTCCTGCCTGAAGCCTCCTACTGCTGCTGTTATCATTAGTCATACTTCTGCTGTCATTATACACATGATTATTGTCACATACATATACTATCATATACTAATATATACCTACAACATATTGTACCGCAATAGCTGTAATTATTATTGTAATATTATTACTTAAATTAATGTTGTAAGCCATTATCATTACTGTCTGTCCTGCATCTCTCTCTCTCTCTCTCTCTCTGTCTCTCTTTGTATCATTTTGTCATAGGGATTACTGTTAATTTATCATGTTGATCTGTTCTGTACGACATCTGTTGCACGTCTATCCATGCTGGAAGAGGGATCCCTCCTCAGCTGCTCTTCCTGAGGTTTCTACCAATTTTTTTTCCCCGTTAAAGGGGTTTTCTGGGGGGAGTTTTTCCTTATCCACTGTAAGGGCCCAAAGAACAGATGGATGTCGTATGCTGTAAAGCCCTCTGAGGCAAATTGTTATTTGTGATACTTGGCTTTATAAATAAAATTGATTTGAATTGAATTATTAAATTTGATTCAGCTGCTCAGAGGTGCTCCTTCTCCCCAAGTATTTAGTCCTTGCCTAGCATTTTGTGGTTGCATTTGGGTAACAAAATACTTCTCCATCCAACAAAAAATAGGATATTTTTCAACTTGGGCCGAGTTTCGACCCCCAGTAAACTCCTATGTGGTTTGCTGCCAGAGGTGATATCTGTGTTTACTTTTCATCATATCCAAAAAAGCAACTGATTTACAGAAAAAGCTTAGTTAGAAAGCTTCATGAGGCTCGTTTTGCTGGTCTTAGCATATGTATTTGTTGTTTTGCTGAGGTCACATTTTGTGTATCAATTCAACAGAGATGGCAGGCACAAAGTTCACACGATCTAAAATCAGAACAGTCACAATCATGAGAAGAAGAAAAAAAAAAAACTTAGCTTCCCTTTCAGGAGACACAGTGATAAAACAAAGATGATTTGGATTTTGTAAAAGTTGGCTATTATCCTACATTTCTACGATTCTGATGGTGCACAATAGTGCCAATTTCCTCCATCATCTTAGTGTAACATGTCAGCATGCTAACATTTGCAAATTAACACAGAAATTGCAAATTAACACAGTACGGCTGAGGCTAATGGGAATATCATTAGTTTGCAGGTGTTTGGTCAAAAACCAAAGTATTGGACATTATGACCTGATGATGGTGCTAAATGAAAAGTCAAGGGATCATCAAAGTCCATAGGATTCATTCTGCGGGGACCATGAATGTTATTATGCTTATGGCGCCCCAGATTCAAACATCCAAAAACACATACAGTAATTGAAACCACAAAATATCTCCATACTGCTCGTCCGTAGTGATCTAAGTGTCCTGAAGCCCCGACATAAAAAGTTGTTTGGAAAAACGTCATTTGAGCTCTGTTTTTAGCTTCACTGTAGCCTGTAGCTCTAACTGCCTCTCTGGGCACCACGCTCACGTGTGCACACTTGAGCGAGACCGTGAGATAGGGGCACCACATTCATGTGTGTGTGCTTGCTTTCGCTGGTCTCGCGCAAGCGCACACACGTGAACGCGGTGCCCAGAGAAGCAGTTCAGGACACTTAGATCACTACGGACGAGCAGTATGGAGATATTTTGTGGTTTCAATTATGTGTTTTTGGACTTTTGAACCTGGGGCGCCATAAGCCTCCATTAGGTGGAGTTTTGTTGCTACCTCCTCTCCCCTTGGATCTCTGCAAGTGTCGTGAGGACTCTAAAACTTCATCTGATCCTCCATCGGCATGAGGGTGAGTAGATAATGGGTGAATTTTCATGTTGGGTGCACTATCCCTTTAAGGTAAAATGAGAAGCTGTTCACTATACTTTCTTAAACTAACCTATATTGTTTTTATATGGTGCTGCAGGGAGTGAACTTTCCCTGAAATGAGTCTTTCAGTCTCAAAAAGACTCAGTCCTATCTGTGAGCAATAAACAATAATATAATATGTCATTCATTAAATCCAAGGCAACAAGCATGCAACTCAAAGTAGGCTTATGTTGACGTACTGTCTTCGTAAGGGGTGAAGGAGTATCTGCTGGACTCTGGAGACAGACTTTGGTTGTAGATCGCCTGGACGTACAGGTCATACTTCTCTCTGTTGCGTGGAAGCTTCAGCCTGAATGAAGTTGTGTTTGAGTACCATAGCTTTTTTTGTTCTTTCTTGTTCAACCTGCACAAAGAGAGAAAGAGCACACACATTTTAGTTCACACTTTCAGTGCTCTGAGCGTGGAAGGAAAATTGCTTGTTCTCGCAAGTAACAAAGCTTTCACATGCCAGTTGATAGCACAGTATGAGCACCAGTTATCAACAAGAAATTGCAGTACAGAAATTCCAGTGTTTGAGGTCACTTTTGGATAGTTTGTGCACCCAAAGGCACTGACAAGTTTGTATTTCAACTGTCTAATGTCCTGTCTGGTACAAATCTTTATCACAGTTCTTTAAAAAGATTCTCTGCTTATTTTCACCTAGCTTTGTATCACAACAATTTGGGGAGTATGCGTAAATGAACTGTGGTAAACTTCTCCATCTTAACAGTGCCCAGATCTCTCTGCTCATTGGCACTGCACTGTCTATTTCTCACCTCAAATGTTTACAGAAACAAGAAGTGAGCACTATACTGTGTCCTGTATTGTGTAAATGGAGGCTAAAAAAAGAACTTAGACAGTAAAATAGAAAGGTGATCAAATATGAACAGATATTATGTCACTGTGTTGCCTATTTCTCACCTCAGATGTTTTCAAAGCAAATTTTGGCTTACTGTTTAACTGTAATGAGATTGTTTGTTACCTGCCTGCTACAACATCATTTTTGGATAGGCAAATGCATTATGTCATCCAACAGCAGGAGTGTTTATTGGTCTGATGTGGCGCAGTGCATTCTGGTAGCTGCAGGTTTTCTACCTCTTGAACAAAAGAGAATGCCACAGCCCTTTTTCTCTGTTTCCTCTAGCCATGTGGCACCGATAAAAAAGTATTGCATCTTTCTACTGCATAGACAGCCCAGTTTTATGAAAAGACCATGTTTCGAGCAGGGAGATACTTCTTCAATAACAAAAAGTATGGCCTTCTTCTCAAAAATGTTATTATAATGCATTTATGGTTGCAAAAATTTGTCCTAAGGACAGAGGGATGTTGTATGTTGTAAAGCCCTGTGAGGCAAATTGTGATTTGTGATATTGGGCTTTATAAATAAAATTGAAAAAAAAAAAAAACTGAACGGAAAAAATGTATAGAATTCTCAGGCTTTTAATTCTCAAACAACTCACAATATGAGTACTGGCCTGTATTGATTGGGATCTAGTTTTAATAGCACTCACATTACATTCTGTGTTTAATATTATCATATGTGAGAGTTTCGGCTGAATACAAACACTCTTAATTCACAGATTTGCAGATTGCACAAACTCTGTAAAACTCTCATGTCCCACAAACAGAGCTCACTACACACTACACAAGTTGCGTATTCTCTGTAAATTATGCAGGAACCCTAGCTGCCCTCTGATCAAAGCATGTCGATGTTTACAACTTCAGTGAGAGGATGAAATGAATCGATCCTTCTGGACACAAACACACACAACACACTGTGTTCTCTCATCTCCAAGTTTAATGTCACAAATAACAGTTACATTAAGTTGATGTGCTAACTGTCTTGGGAAGGCTACTTTTGAAATTCCATAGGTCACAGATTTAGTTACCCTGTTAAAAATGTAGTAAGAAATGTAACTATTTTAATTACTTCATCAAAGTATGACATTTGATTACTTCTTAATTGCTTTTTTAACAAATGTTTTAAACTGGGCAATATTGCGGAAAAGTCCAAAAAACACAAGTGCATAAATGTTGCACTCAAATTTGTCCCAGTGACTTTGCTGACCGGTGTTGTCCAGAAATAAGCCAAAAAGCATTCCTGCATGGCGAAAAGATGAAAAGCAACAGAATGAACGTCACATTCTACATAGGAACCTCTTATGGATTGTTCTTTATTTACTAGGGGAGTGAGGTGGCTGGAGTGTGACTTTGTTTTTGTTTTTTTAATATGATTATTATTTTGACCCTCCCCAAAGCTACAAATATTTTCCTTGAGCCTCCCTGTGGGACTGGCGGAAAATGCATGACCCTCCCTCCACCATAAATTAGTCATTAGATTTTTAAACTTATTCTTTGATGTTTTAAAGTTAAAAGTTTTAAGTTGAAGACAAATTCTAGAGTTGAAAAAAGCCTTGGTTTTTCACTCGTGTTGTGCACGCTGGTTATTTCTTGCAAACGGTTTATTTTTGGCTAAATCTTTAATGAGACGTAAAATAAATGATTTTGATGAAATATCACTATTTTAAACTTAGATTTACCTTTGTGTTAATTTTTTCTGATGGAAGTATTCAACACACATGATGTGCCCATGGACCATCAGACATTTGAAAAAAAACAACAACAGTAATTTCTGTTGTTACAGTTTCTGGCTATGATAAATGGTGTAATTTTGGCGATTTTCAAAGAAAACATGCCTTCCAAACCCACGGGCCATGTTTTCTTTAAAGAATCTGCAGTACATAAATACAAAATACAGTCATTAAAAAAAAAAAAAAAAAAAAAAAAAAAAAAAAA